TATGGCACTTGTGCCACAGGTGGCACGCAGCGCCCTCTCTGTGGGCACGTGTGCCTTCGCCCCAGTCCCAGGCCTTCAGCTGGGTTTTATAAAACCTTTTCGCTTTAGGCCTCTGCCGCTGTGTGCAAAAAACAAAAAACAAAAAGGTTCAATCTGTAAGGACCCACCCCACTTTGCATCTTAAGAAGACAGAACTCTTGGAATAGTTCTTCCAACAGGAATCCTTTATTAAGAGAAAATGGTTGCAGGCATGCTAGACAGGACTTGGGGTCCAAGCTCTCCCATTCAAGGTTTTAAGGAGTTCCCCAGTAGTCCCACCCAATCAACCCCCCTTCCAGTGATAGTTTCAAGTATCACAATTCCACCTCCTTTCTTCTTTCTTCAGTCTGGATGGAGACTTCAGATACTACATGAAAGGCAATTACCCTTCTTTGATATGTTAACGCTTAGAGGTTACAATAAACACACATTCAGCTCTTTGAAGTGTAAAGAAGGAAGTGAGGGCCATAAAGCCCCTTTGCTCTCCCCCTTCTCTCCCTCTTATGGCAGAATCCAGAGAAGGCAGAATTGGGAGTTTCTATATTTGATAATTTAAAGATGAAATATAATTGGATTCTGACACAATCACTCAATCAATCTCAACTTCTCGCAGGAGAAAAAAAGATCTCGCAAAGTTGGAATTGATTGATTGAACTTTTTAGTCCCACCCAGTCTGCTATTACCACCGCAGTCACGTCCACCCAATGGGCCATACCCATCCAATGGGCCACGTCTACCCGGCACCCAACAATACATAAGTGGGTTTTGGGTTGCAGTTTGGGCACTCAGTCTCTAAAAGATTCACCATCACTGGTATAGAATTTCCTGCTTGAGCGCGGGGGGGGGGGTTGGACTAGAAGACCCCCCAAGGTCTCTTCCAGCTCTGTTATTCTGTTAGAATGGAATTTCAAACAGAATAGCAAACCCTTTCAACAAATTCCAGAAATCTTGCCTTGTGGGTAATGAGAAAGAAATTAACAAAAGAAGTAGGAGTGCTCAAAAAGATTACGTTGGTGGCACAATTCTATGATCAAAGATCCTCCTGTTTTTAATGTGCATTGCTTCAATTGAAGTGTCACAGCTTTGTTGGAACTTTTGTGGCCCCCAAGCTGATTTTTTAGACTATACTTTGAGGACAGTTCTGCAGAGAATCATCTTCCTTCTTTGACCAATCAACAATAGCATTTGCACTGAAGTGTTCTGCTCTGTTCATAGAAACTGTGCTGCGCCACGATTAACATGGATGGGTTTGGGTTTGTTTGTTTTTTAATTTGAATCGGCTTTCTTAAGGGACAGAAATGTAGAGATGCAGTTGGATTGTCAGCAGAGGATTTGGTCATTTTCATAATTCAGTAGAAACCAGCCAGCACAGGACATACAATATTTAGTTTATTAAAAAAATGTTCAGTGAAACAAGTCATCTGTCTCACAACTCATCTAAGCCGGAGATAGCATCTGGGAACCAATTTGTGTTTGCTGAATCCACACTACGTTCCCTATAGTCTCACTTGCCTAACAAAGCCCCTTCCTGATATGTTGCTCTATGATTCAAGACCTGAGGCCCAGCGACTACGTTTGGTTGCAGATGAAAAGAGGCTCACATATCTGAAGAACAGCAGGCAGGGAGAAACAGAATCAGACACAAAAACCTCCTCTGATAAGACTGCAATCTCCATAATAACATTTGAGTATGTTATTCGTATGAAAAATTGTGGCCTTTATCTTCCTACTTCCCTGCATATTAACAAGAGTACCTGCTGAGCTCTAACATGATACCTCGGAATATTTTTAGAGGATTCTGTTTCGGACTGCACTGTAGCGGCCGTCCAGCGTAGATACCCTGGATCTGGCCAGCAGAGCCCCTGAAGAAGTAAACCTGTGCATCTACTGAGAAGACTATTGGGTGAATTCGGTTCTTCACTGAGGCTTGTAGTCCACTCCAATCCCCAAAGCCTCCAGCTGGCATATAATGAAGACAAGCAAAACCCAAAAGAACTGATGTCATAATAAAAGCATGATGAAAAAGCCAAAGGCTTACTGGAATAGAACTGCTTTCAGTTATTTCCAAAAAAATTAGCAAAGTGGAGTCTCCTTTCTCAGTTCTGGGGGGCAATTATTCCACAGAATAGGGACTAACACAGAGAAATTCTGCAATTTCAGTCCCATGAAATGGGGAGACTTTCAGCAGGCCCTCTACAAATGACCTGCCTGGAGAAGCAGATTCACTTTTCCTGAAGCATTTCCTGACCCAAACTGGTGCAGCATCATTTAGGGCAGGGGTAGGCAACCTTGGCTCTTTTATGACTCGTGGACTTCAACTCCCAGAATTCCTGATCCAGGAATTCTGGGAGTTGGAGTCCACGAGTCATAAAAGAGCCAAGGTTGCCTACCACTGATTTAGGGGCTTAAGGATAACAAGCAGCACTTTGAATTGATCTTGGAAGAGTACTGGCAGTAACTTCAACATAAGTGTAATTCTTCCCTGGTGATTTGTCCAGCCAGGAGTCTGGATACCATGTTTTTATACAAAGCTAGGAGGATGGTCCAGATTATTTCCTTCAGCAGTAACTCCAAAATTGGATCCTTTGTGTCAGAAATGAGCCTTAGTTCCCTTTTTTATGGTCCTCAAGGCCACCTACATTACTGAAAAGGAATATTGTGGTTACATAATATTTCGAAGCAGGAAGTAAATGAATATTTACTGTAAGCCTTTAAATAAATTTAGCATGGAAAGAAAAAAGAAAAGAAAAGAAAAAAAGAGAAAGAAAGAAAAATGAAAGAAGAAAGAAAGAAAAATGAAAGAAGAAAGAAAGAAAGAAAGAAAGAAAGAAAGAAAGAAAGAAAGAAAGAAGGAGGGAGGGAAGGAGAGAAGGAGGGAGGGAAGGAGGGAAAGAGAATGAACGACACTACCCACACCATCCAAAAATAACGGGAGAAAATTCTACCCTATTGGTTTTATCCTACCTACTGAAATTTGTCTAAAAGCTTCAGTATATTGTAGCTATCTATCATAAAACATCTATCTACTGTATCATCTATCTATCTATCATCTATCTATCTATCTATCTATCTATCTATCTATCTATCTATCTATCTCTACCTATCTACCTATCATCTATCTATCATCATCTATCTATCCATCTGTCTTAAATTGTCTCAACAGAATTAATGACATCAGTCCGACATGAGAGTATTCGCCACCAGACTCAACTCTGAGGCTAAAGCTGTTCTTGAAGGCTACAGCGTTGACTTTGTCAAAGAGGTGGAGAATGTCTTCCATTCCAGAAGGTGCCACCAAGCTCAGTTGCCAGCACTGCCCAGTGCATGTGATGAAGTCAACAGCCCGTCTGGCCTGAGCAATCTTTTGAGCAACCTTACTCTACAAGATGCTCAGTTTGCTCTTTGACCAAACATCAGGCTGGCTGGGAATTTTGGGTAAAATTTATGGTTTAAATAAAAAAGCAGAGGTGCCAACTATGGAAAGGTGGCGTGCATTTTGACTCCTCTGTAATATTATATGATGCCAAGGAGCAAATATAACAAAACAAATCAATAAGTAAAGTGAATTATGCTACAGCTGTTATTTGGAGGCTATGTAAATTATGCATTTGGATTACTAAATTACACGTATTAGCTCTTTATATTTCAACTGGACATTTGATTTGGCATGTCCTATGCTGTTACATCACTCTTTCACTACTTCTGCATCACTCTTTAGGTTATGTGTGGACATCAATTAGCAAATGTTGATATTTTATTACTTAGAAAACTATTTCTCAAAATTACCCTGGCAAACTGAACCTAATTTCATATGCCCTAGATTCAGAAAATGGTAAAGAAAGATGAAGAAAATCATAAAGAAAAATGAAGTAACTGTCTGGACTCTAATATTATTGTTACGAATGTGGATATGTAAAACAGGTAAATCTGGACATCTGGAAGATTTTGGCATTCATCGTTCATTTAAACTCCTCTTCAACATGGTGCTTTCCAGATCGGTTCGACTGTGGAAAACTAAAAGAAAAGTACTTCCAACTGTTCTTCTTTGCAATCAAAATTATATGTAGTCAAATAAACACATTTCTGCATGATAGTCTCCAAAACATCTATCATGCCAGTAAGGATGTTAATACAAGTAGTCCTCAACTTACAACCACAAGTGGCCCCCAAATTTCTGTTGCTGTTGTTAAATGAATTTTGCCTTATTTTTATAACCTTTTTAGCCACAGTTGTTAAGTGAATCCCTGCAGTTGTTAAGCGAATCTGGCTTCCCCATTGACTTTGCTTGTCAGAAGTTTGCAAAAGGGGATATCATGACCTCGAGACACAGCAGTTGTTATAAGCATCAGTCAGTTGCTAAGTGGCTGAATTTTGATCACGTGGCCATGGGGATGCTGCAACGGTCATAAATGTGAAAAACATCATAAGTCACTTTTTTCAGTGCTGCTGTAATGGTCATTAAGCAAACTGTTGTAAGTTGAGGACTATCTGTACTCCTTGAACAGCTCTATCTGCAGACCAAACATGTGACATTGCCCAAGATTTATCTTGGTTCTTAGCATCTTCATTGACTCTGTTGTTGGATCCCAATTCCAAGCCATTATCAGCTGTTTGAATATAAGTTGGAATCATTATTAATCAAATGAATAAGAGAGACAAACTGAATGCAAATCTCTCTTTTTTAAATGAAGCATTTAGTCCCATTTCTAAGTCCATCCTCCTCCTGCTCTTTCTGGAGTACAGGCAGTCATTAACTAATTTCTGTAGTTAAGTGAATTTATTGTTAAGTTAATTTTGCCCCATTTTACGACCATTCTTGCCACAGTTGTTAAGTGAATCACTGCAGTTGTTAAGTTAGTAACTTGGTTGTTAAGTGAATCAGGCTTCTCAGAGGGTCACCAAAAGTGATCACGTGACCCCAGGACACTCCAACTGTCATAAATATGAGTCAGTTGCTGAGTATCTGAATTTTGATCACGTGCAATGGTTGTGTGAAAAAACGGCTGCAAGTCACTTTTTTCAGTGTCTTAGTAACGTTGAACGGTCACTAAACAAACTATTGTTAAGTTGAGGACTACCTGTATTAATTGTATCTGTGGTTTGGGGATGGGGTTGACTGCTTTTCGTAGCACTGTGACATCTTCTTCATGGCTCGTTGCACAAATTTCACTTTCCCTCGGTCTTTCTGGATGGCCGTGTACTCGTATGCTTTCAGCTTGTTGTAGTAATCTGAGAATTTATTGTAGAGGACGGAGATGGGCATGCCGTTCAGGATGATCCCAAAAGCGATGCAGAGGAATGCAAACAGCCGTCCCAGGTGAGTCTCTGGATACATGTCTCCATATCCCACAGTAGAGAGGCTTACCTTGAGGTAAATAAAGGAGTGGGGAAAATCATTCAGGAGAGCAAGAAGTGGACTTTTAGACAGAGGATCATATATTAGCGGTTCTCATCCTGCGGTCCACAGACCCCTGGGGAGGGCTCACAATGTTGTCGCGGGAGGGGGGTCCGCGAAGGTTTCAAGAAAAATGTTATGATTTAAATCTTAAGTCTTTGGGGGGGATCTGTGGCTGTGATCAGTGGTGACACAAAAGTATTTAAAGGGGGTCCATGGCCCGTGGTTGAGAACCCCTTTCTTAGATTATTAAAATGGTAAAAAGGGGTCCCATGTTGTTGCATTAGAACTTTGCCTTATAGAGTAATCTCTATAAAAGCCTGCTAAAAGAGACTCTTAATTCATCTCCCTGGATAGCCTATACTGTTAGATAGCAAATCTAACAATATGGCTGAGCTTCAGCCTTGGGGTCTGTCTGGGGCCTGTTCCTGAGAGAAGTCTTCAGAAACATAATTATCTGGTATTTTTTAGGACAGGAATGGTGCCACTAGCTTTCCACTTTGTTTTTGAAGCCCTTGTATCCTGCGCCTCAACCTTTGCCCATAAAATGTGGTGTCAAAAAACTGCTACCCAGCTGCTTGCTTTGTTTTAAATGTATACAAATTGTTATGTCTCTTGCATTAAGCTTTTAAGTAAGTCTCAGCCAGAAGCCAAGCTAAAGGGCAAAATGAATCAGTCTTCACTGAAAGGAATGGGACACATCTGGTCCCCTGAAGGCCTTGGTAGCTGAATCTTAATAAGAAAATGCAGCTCTCGACCGTGAAAAAGGATTAAAGTCACTGAAGCTCTCAAAGCACGACCTAGCAAATGATGCCCCTCAGCCTTTCCATTGCTAACCTGTCAATAAAACTCAGTCAGTGCTGAAAACCAAAATTGAGTGTAATGCCGAAAGTGTTAAGGGCATGATAGCTAGGGGGGAAAATCACTGGGGTGTTCCTTTTCTCTTGGTGCCCTAAGTACAGGTAGTCCTTGACTTACAACCACAGTTGAACCCCAAATGTATGTTGCTAGGTGAAACATTTGTTTGCTCTATTTTACAACCTTTCTTGCTACAGTTAAGTGAATTATTGCATTTGTTAAGTTAGTCACACGGTGCTTAAGTGAATCTGGCTTCCCCATTGACTTTGCTTGTCAGAAGGTCGCAAAAGGTGGATCACATGATCCCGGGACACTGCGACCATCATAAATATGAACCAGTTGCCAAGCATCTGAATTTTGAACATGTGACCATGGGGATGCTACAAATGGTTGGAAGTGTGAAAAGCGGTCATAAGTCATGGAGATTCTCAGTCATCCAGGTCATAGGTGGTATCCCAAAGGTGCTTTTTCATGAGGCAACTGAACTTTCTTGTTTTTCTTTGAAGACATTTTGCTTCTCATCCAAGAAGCGAAACGTCTTGAAAGAAAAACAAGGAAGTCCAGTTACCACGTGATACGGCACTTTTGGGTCATATGTAGCTTTCTTCAGTGCCGTTGTAACTTTGAACGGTCACTAAATGAACTGCTGTAAGTCGAGAACTACCTATACATGCTTTTTTTGCTAATAGTCAATCCAGGGCTGAGCCAGTCTTTAGCGTGTGGGAAGTGTGGGAAGTCAGCCCCCCCCCCAGAGAAAGAAATATTTTTGGAAATATTTAAGAGGCAGAAAAGCATGCCCAGTTTATTTAATAGCCCCAAGTCTCCCTCCCCTAAGCAGAAACCAGCTCTGTAAAAATGCAGATATAAACCATTCAGGAAGGTTGAAGCTAGAAGATTAAGAAGACAAAAACACCTAAAATCTGCATACCCCACCCAAACTCTGAGACAGGACATAATAGGATTAACCCACAGATACCAAAGGGCACACTCAGATTCAGGTCAAAGTTCATGCCACAGGAACAACTCTAAACAAAAGGCTCCAGAGGGTATAAAAAATCACTCCCTACATGTGCTTGCTCTCTTTTCTTCCAGAGCCATCTTCCTGTCTGGCTCGCCTCTTCAATAAACTGCAACCTTCTTTCTAAAGCAGTCACCATGTTGTTTATTCCTGGCTTGGACTGAACCATGATGAAGACTTTTCCTTCAATACTAGGATAAATTGTCTAACATACCTTCACAAAAGTAAAACCCACAATTCACTGCATATATCTGCTGTAATCAATTCTGAACGATCTACTGCTTTCCTGGGGAGACCAAACTCAGTTTTTATCCTGTCAAACCATCACAGCTACTTGGCCTTTAGGACATCCTCCCACAGAGGTGATTTGCATGTAGACTTAGGGGGGTATGCAAATAGGGAAAATCCTTTTTTTAAAAAATAAATAAATAAATGTTGGGATTGTTGCTATGCTTGATAACGAGCATGACTTTTCCGATGCAAAGCCAGGGGCATTTGCTTGTAGGGTGCACCCAAGAGAAATGTGATTAGTCTGAGGCTCCAATGGAAATTGGCTCACGGGAATTGGATGTAAAGGGCAGAGAAATAGCTCTGAAAATAAACAACCAGATGAAAGGGAGAGGCATTATTGACAATAGCCAGCGGTCACCGAACAGCATTTTTCACTCATGTGATTTCCTGGAGAGCATAGGAAAGTAGCTCTCTGCGTTGTTGTTCTTGATGTGATTTCATCGTCTTTCATGTTATGTACAGTTGGGATAGAAGAGTGGATCATCAAGAAAAACGCTGCTCTGAATTATACATGTGATTATATTGTACGTACTCTGGGGCGGGAGCTTCTCTCTGCTCCTCAATGCTACGTGCAGGGAAATGCAAGAACAAGGGTGGCCCAATGCCAGTCAGACTAGCTATTCTAAAACAGGCTTGAATTGCACCTTGCAGCAGATCAAAGGCCGTTCTTTTTCTAGGAAAGAGGCTCCGGTTATCCTTTTTCAGGAATTTGGGGAAATTTTAATTTTGATTAGGGATAGTCATCTATGGAGATTCTCAATCATCCAAGTCACGGTTGTCCCAGAGGTGCTTTTTCCAAAATGCAGCAGGACATTCTTGTTGTTGTTTTTTTCCTTTGAAAACATTTCGCTTCTCATCCCAGAAGCTTTTTGGATGAGAAGTGAAACGTTTTCAAAGGAAAAATCAAGGAAGTCCAGTTGCCTTTTGGAAAAAGCACCTTTGAGATTAGAGATAACCCTCGGTGCTACTGCAGGTGGTTTGGATTTCTTTATCTGTCTTTCAAGCCTACCGGTTCCTTACCCCTCCTGTTCTGGGATTGGAGGCGTTTCCATATCTTTATCTTTTCCTGGCATGAAACTGAAATCCAAAAAGCTCAGGAATCATGAACCAGAAGAATAATAATAATGATAAAGTTGGAAGGGACCTTGGAGGTCATCTAGTCCAAACCCCTACTCAGGCAGGAAACCCTATACCATTTTGGACAAATGGCTGTCCAGTTTCTTCTTAAAAACTTCCAGTGTTGGAGCATTCACCGCTTCTGGAGGCAGGCTGTTCCACTGGTTAATTGTTCTAGCTGTCAGGAAGTTTCTCCTTAGTTCTAGGTTGCTTCTCTCCTTGATTAGTTTCCACCCGTTGCTTCTTGTCCTGCCTTCAGACGCTTTGGAAAATAGCTTGACTCCCTCTTCCTTGTGGCAACCCCTGAGATATTGGAACACTGCTATCAAGTCCTCTCTCGTGCTTCTCTTTATTAAACTAGACATACCCAATTCCAGCAACCGTTCTTCCTATGTTTTAGCCTCCAGTCCCCTAATCATCTTTGTTGCTCTTCTCTGTACTCTTTCTAGAGTCTCAACATCTTTTTTACATCGTGGTGACCAAAACTGGATGCAGTATTCCAAGTGTGGCCTTACCAAGGCATTGTAGAGTGGTATTAATACTTTGCGTGATCTTGATTCTATCCCTCTGTTAATGCAGCCTAGCACTGTGTTGGCTTTTTTGGCAGCTGCAGCACACTGCTGGCTCATATTTAAATGATTGTCCACTAGGACTCCGAGATCCCTCTCACAGTTACTACTATTGAGCAAGGTACCCCCTATACTATACCTGTACATTTGATTTTTCTTGCCTAAATGTAGAACCTTACTTTTTTCACCATTGAATTTCATTTTGTTAGATAGTGCCCAGTGTTCAAGTCTGTCCAGATCCTCCTGTATCCTAAGCCTGTCTTCTGGAGTGTTGGCTATTCATGCCAGCTTGGTATCGTCTGCAAATTTGATGAGTTCCCCATCTATCCCTTCGTCCAGATCGTTGATGAAGATGTTGAAGAGTACTGGGCCCAGAACAGAGCCCTGGGACACCCCACTACACACTTCCCTCCATGTAGATGCGGTTCCATTGAGGACCACACACTGAGTACGGCCGGTCAGCCAGCTACGGATTCATCTGGTGGTGATGCTGTCTAACCTGCATTTTTCTATCTTATCAAGTAGTAGGTTGTGGTCTACTTTGTCAAATGTACCATACTCTGAGAAAAGGACCCTGATGCCATTTAGCCACCTTGCTAATAGCTGAAGTATAAGAACACAATGTAAACATTTCACTTAAGCCCCACTTCTCCTTTGAAAACTAATTTGATCATACATTTTTCTTCACCTTCATTGAATGAGAACTGGTAAAGAACGAAAAGCAAAGCATGATCATTTTTTCTGCACGATATTTAGATCCTTCTCCTCTCAACCAGCCAGGCACAAGTCAGCTGGGGTTAAAAAAAAACCTGTGCAATTATTCCTCCTCTATTTCTTCTACTTCTATGCGCAGTCCATGGAAGGGGGAGGTTGATACCATAGATGTTGTGACACCATCATTTTAATGACATACGTTATACAATTGGCATCTTCCACATCACAACTGAGCCAATATGTAATTGGAATCATTGGGAAGCCCAGAGTTTCCAGTTGCTGCCAAAATACCACTGCAGAATAATTGGATTTGGTGCAAGTTGTAATTTAGTAGTAGGTTCCCTACCTCTGTGTTACAGAGGATGAATCTGTCTGACACTACAGCAGTGGTTCTCAACCTTTTTAATGCCACGACCCTAACCGGTCGTAAGTTGAGGACTACCGTAACCGGTCGTAAATTGAGGACTACCCAACAGGTCGTAAGTCGAGGACTACTCAACCGGTCATAAGTCGAGGACTTTCCTGCCCAGGAGCGCCGCGCATGTGTGGTGCCACCCCCTATGCCGGCCGAGGCGTAGCTGGCAAGGGGCAGCGACGGCGCAGGGCGACCACCGGCTGGGCCACCAGCTGGCCCAGCCCAAAGGAGGTAAGGCACCCGCCAGGCCCCATGCGCGCCAGCAACCCTCTCTGTACCTGCCGGCCTCCCACCCTGGCCCTCTTTTATTTACATTTTTAGTAGTTGCTCAGCAGGGAGGGGTGGAAGCTTCCAGACAGCTCACCTTCGCTGCAGACAACTTGCAGCACCGTTTGCAGACTGGTGCTTTTGGTGGGCTCAGCAGGGCAGAGACAGCCTGGACAATTCCTATTGGCTTTTGAAAGCCAATAGAATTAGACTCTATTCAAGAGAGTCTATTCTATTGGCTTTCAAAAGCCAATAGAATAAAAGGGAGTAGCACAGCTAAAGAAAAGGGGGAAAAAATGGCGGACTGCGTTGTTTGGCGACCCCCGTGAAATGGTCGTTCGACCCCAAATGGGGTCCCGACCCACAGGTTGAGAACCGCTGCACTACAGCAATGTTTCTCAACTTTGGTAACTTGAAGACGAGTGGAATTCAACTCTGAAAATTGGCTGGCTGGAACATTCTGGGAGTTGAAGTCCACCCATTTTTCAAGTTTTCAAGGTTGAGAAACACTGTACTAGAGGAACATGTGAAAGGAGTCACAACATGTACTCAGGTATCTAACAAGTCACAACTAGTTTTGTCAGGGCTCATTTAAATGAAGCTCAACACAATTGCGTGTTGTGGTCAGTGAAGAATCTTGTCTTCAGCTGCTACATCAGGCAATCTAGCAAAATTACTGGAGGAAGAATTGCTTCTATATACCACTCATGTGCAGAACGAGTTGTGTTGTAGAGATGTTATTTAACATCACCAGCAAAGTATTACCGTAGAATGGAGCAAAACCCATTCATCTTCAGGATTTATTCACGAGGATACTTTGTACCCTGATTCTGGGTGATATTGTTAAGCCGATTATGGATGATCATAAGCACGTACTCAGCCCACATTCATCTGAGCAAAACATTAACAATGGTGCATACTTGGATTGTTGTCTTCTACCTTCAAAGGGAAAACATTAGTGGAGATATTTTCCAGCTATGTCGTAGCATGCTACGTATTCCTATTGGCGTGACAACTTCTGGAATAGATGCTAGAGGCACTCCAATTTTATAATCACCTTGGATGCATCTGTTTATGGAACCATTTACATTTCCTGTTGGACAATATTAGTGTTCCTGAACTTTCTTAAATGGTAGTCTTATTTTTCAATTCAAAGGGTAAATCAAGGCAACATAAGGCATTTTTCCCCCTCACTGGAAGTATATGTAGAAAGCTATATATACCCCAGTGAGAACCCATCATATGTGATGCATGCATATTGCACCACACGGAGCAAAGCCAACATTGAATATACGGGAGAATATCCACACACCCAACTCTTGACCTAAGATGGTAATTCCAGTTTCCATTTTTGATTAACCCTGGTGACTTAGCAAATAACAGCTAAGAGAAAAGATCATGGAGAAATTTGCAAGACACACCTTTATCCAGCTGTTCTTTATCCAAGACACTAAATTTATTGGGAATACAATAAATTTTCATCCATCACTACTGGCAGTTTCTATTGTGTTTCAGCAATAGGACTACAAATTATAAATTCCATATCATATTACAATCCAGTGACCCAGCCAGCTTTCCCATTTTGTTATTTTTGGCCCTCGTCACTGGCTTAATAAAAATAAAAAAGAGAACTCATCTCGTGCTCTGGTCTATTGTCAGTTGTTTTGGGAACTCTTGAAGAACCTCTGTGTCTGTCATCTGTGATCACCTCTGGCATCTGCCTGTCTCTTGATTTTTCAAACGGCAGCTTCAACTCTAAGTTCTACATGCTTTGTGGGCATCAATCTCACTTATTCTTGGTACATTATTAGGTGAAGCCATCTTTAAAGTCTCCATAAATCAGTACTAGCTAGCTGTCAGTTGGCATATAGAAACCTCTGAATGTGTTTTTTTTAAAAAAGCATGCAGAAACCCCTGCAAAGTTCAGGCTTCCAATATGTTTTCCTTTCTATTTTCCTCTTCTTTTTCATGTAGTAGCAGTGAGTGCTGCAAGAAGACCACCCGTGTAGAACACTGCCACAAAAAGACATCCAGTTCAAGCCAAGCTTCGCTGATTACAGGCTGATCTACTGAAACAGATGTACTAAAGCTTACAGTGGGAAGTGGGGTGGGGTGTCTGCATTTACATCTCCTCTAAAACCAAGGATTCAGAACAGATGTTCAAAATCTGGGCACATCCTGCTGCTTTCATAACAAGCAGCTTTTCTAAATAAAGAGCAAGAAGCGAGGGTCAAGTCTCAACGAACGCGGCAGGTACTTACGGCAGCCCACCACCAGGCCTGAGGAATGCTGGTGAAGTTTGTGCTGACAACATCATGCTCCACAGAGTAGACCATGGCTGAGAAGGCAGAGATGCCCAGGATGATGAAGAGCATGAGACAACCTACTTGCTGGTAACACTGGCGCAGTGTGAAGCCAAAGGCTCGGAGCCCTGTGGAATGGCGGGCTAGCTTCAGGATGCGAAAAATGCGCATCAGACGCATGATGCGTAGCACTTGCCCTACTTTGCCCACTCGGCCCACTTTCTCAATCTCCTGTTCATGCTGAGACCCATGCCCGCCAGTCTGGGTCTCATCAATAAAAAGCTCTAGCAACAGCTGAAGATAGAGGGGCAAGATAGCAATGAGGTCCACAGCATTGAGAGTGCTACTAGCAAAGCGGTGTAAGTCAGGGGTAGAGAGCAGCCTCAGTATGTACTCTAGAGTGAAGAAGGCCACGCAGAAGGTCTCCACATGTTCCAACACTGGCCGTAGCTCTCCAGTGGCTTTGTCCTTCTGCTGCATCTCCTCGACTGTGTTGAGAGCAAGGGCCACCACAGATATGAGAACAAAGAAACTGGAGGCAACCCCCATTGCTTTGGCCATGGTGGAAGAGAAGGGCTTCTCCATGAGGTTCCAAAGGCGCCACCGTTGCGTGGCATAGCGCATGTGGCAGAAGAGAGCCTCGCTCTCCTGGACAGCTGCCTGAGCACGGAGCTCCTCCTGCACTTTCAGTTGGTCATTCAGTTCATCGCATCTCTCTTCAAAGCAGATACGGCAGCAGCGGGGCGTGTATTTGAGACGGACCCCCCAGTAGCTCAACTCTTCCAAAAAGCTGTTGGGGCACAGCTCGTTTTGTACCTGTAACACCCCGGAAGCGTAGAAGTTGTAGATCAGTTGGAAAACTGCAGGGTCTCGGTCAAAGAAATATTCATCCCCCTGAGCCGCATAGTCATCACAGAGGCCTAGCTGGCAATGGCGATCGGTGGAAGTAACCAAGCGACCGAGGCGCGTGGTGGGATAGGTGGCCACTGCTTGGTATGTGAGATGGTAGGTTCGGCCACCAACATTAATGTTGAGCACCGAGGAAGAAACTAATGTTCTAGAAGAAAAAGCGGGGTCAAATGCAAATATTGAAAGGCGTCTCTTCTGCTCTTCCTCCTCCTCTTCCTCTTCCTCACCCAAGTATTTCTCAGTTTCCTGGGACAACTGCAATCGATAAGGAGAAGTCGCTTGGGTGTCTATGCACTCGGCTGTCTTGCATTCTGCAGAAGACTCCAGTGGAGTTTCGGGTGCTTTTCCATCCGAGATGGAAAGTTGCTTCTTTTGACTGAAATTTCTCATGGGTGAAACTCTCTAGCCCACCACCCCGGTTTTCAGATGTGCTTCTTGCCACGGCTTTCTTGCTCTGCTTGTTCCTGCTCAGAGCATTCACGACTAGAGCAGCCAGCCTCACATTTCATTCCAGTCACTCTTCACTCCAGTTGTTGCTAAAACTCAGGATGGGATGCAGGCATGGAAAAGGGGGGCGGGGAAGGAAACGCTGCTGTTGATCACGTTAATCTTGCTGACAGGGAAGAACTGAGTAGTTACAGAAGGGGATTTAAAGGCTATTATCCTATTTTAGCTTCGCCTCCCTTTATCTGTGACGTGAAGGTCTACAGAGCCAATAATCTTTGGATAATAATTTTTTTAAATGTTAAGTATGTCAAAATCAATATATCACTATTGGGATCCTCTCAGTATGTTTCCAGGATGGAGGAGAGCCTAGGGTTCCACCCATGACACAATGCTAATCCTTCCTTTCAGATGTTCATCTTGCCCTCCATTTACTCTGCCCCTCCTGAAAGTGTGATCCATCCATGCTTGTAGAGCTGTTCTATTGGCTGGAGCAGATTTTACAGGGAGTGAAGCCAATGCCAATTTTTGTTTCTCTAACTTAGCTAGTTTAAGATGGATGGAGAATTTTGGGAGTTGAAGTTCACCCATCCTGAAGTTGCCAAGTTTGAAAAACCCTGATCCAGAATATATCTGTGCCACATATACCTTATCACTGAAAACAGAGAAAGGGAAACTGGATGCTGAATCCTTAATTTGGAAATCTGACCATTGTTTTTTTTCAAAATCAAGTTCTGGTCTGTAAATCTGCCTGTCAGACCTCAAAAGCTAGAAGTCAAACTTTCAGTATCCGATTCAATGCAGCTGACTCTGATTCTCTGCATAGCTTTTTGTTTATTGCTTCAATTAACAAAGGGAGAACGTGTTAGATAAAACACAACATAATATGCATGCCAGCTTAATTTGTACAATTACTAAATTAGTTCCTTTGGGAACAGAATATGGAACAGTTTATTGTAGTAAGAAAGATGACCCTACCATTGGCCTATGACCCCAATCATTGTCATCTGGTGATTGTTGATGTATTTGCTCAGACAAAACTTAGCTGTCAGAGCAAAATATGTTTCTCGCCCCAGTTGCAGTAGACTAAACTTTAATGAAGCAATGCTTTTCGCAAATGTTGATGCACCTGCCTTTAGACTTGTAACCACAAACATATTACAGTCCATTAGTGTTTCAATGCCAGCAAATTGTATCTGTAAAGGAGAAAAACCTGTAGCTCTTCAGATGTTGAATGAGTCACCACTGGCCACACCAACTAATAATAATAAATAATAATAATAAACCCTTTATTATCAAAGTATAACATGTATACAGTGAAATTGGCTGAACCTCCCTCTTGCTAGCAATTATAGTTCTCCCGTACCTAGAACGTCACAAATTCCCCCCCTCTGCTTTAAAGCCTCAAGATAGGAATCTTTCTGCTTTTGTTCCTGCAATAATTTTAAGAAGAGATCCCAGAGACTGAACATCACATACATGTGGCATATGGTCATGCGTTTTGCTTTGTCCTTCCTCAAAGAGAAGAAAGCATTTTATAACAGGCTCTTTGTGAATATCATTCTGCTGCTCATGGGGCTTTGCAAGACTGGTGTGTGAAAGTATTTTTTTTTTTTAAGACCCATTGATTTCACTGGCATGTTCTCTAGATAAAGCTCCATATTTGTATGTCACAGGCAGGCTTTCTCTTTCCCTCTTCCCCACCCCCACCCCATGCATTTCCACAGCTGCTTGGCGGGTATTAGGTTGTCCAACAGCTTAAATCTGACTTACGGGTTGGCGTGAATGTCAAATATGTATTGGCACAAACTCCTGAAGACTTGCCGTGAATAAACAACAGAGAACTTGATAAGATTTTGATCACCTGACTTTTTGTTTAGTTCCTCCCCCCCCCCCGGCCCAGTATGCAGGCTTTGAATTCTGCCCTTCAATTAATTTGTGGGATTTTTCTTTCCTATTCAGATGAAAACTGGGATGATCTTTGCTTTTGGCATGGAGTTGGGATTGAAAGGGGGATTAGTAAATGGATAGTTTCCTTTTGCCATGTTTCTGATGTCTCTGTAATAATTATAATGTATATAGATAAGCAATAGCTGGATAGAGGGTCTGATGCACGACTGCTGATATTGGGAATAAGGTATTCCAGGTGCAGCATAATAGGCACAGACAGATGTGCTTTAAGGAGATGGAAATAGGCCATGGATATTAACAAGCTTTTCCAGGCTCTGAACATCATGAAATATGGTGACTCTGTCCTGCAGTTGGTGCCAGAGATTGGCTGCAAATCATATCATTGCCAGATCCAGGTGACTGGCACTTCACCTGTCATTGTAAAATGACATCAGTGAATGATGGAAAAGCATTCTATATTATTTTTTGTGTGTGTAATTTACAAGATATTAAGGATGGGGGAAGCCTCTCTTGGGGGTCTTTTAGGGCCTGATAATAGTTTTTAAAAAATCATGGAGGTATAAAAAGAACAATAGGGATTCAAGAAATCAATCAACCATTTAATGAAATTAATTGATTAAAAATATGTCACAATACATACAATTTTGGAACGGGGTATGATTTGCTCTGGTTAGGCCACCTCCCCTTTTGGCCCCACTCATTTTGGTAGGGTAATTCTCAGCAGATCACAAAACACCATCCACAAAATTCTGTCCAAACAAAGTCCATCTATGCTGGCTTAAAATGAACGAAAATCCAGTACAGGTAGCCCTCGACTTACACTAGTTCATTTAGTGACTGTTCAAAGTTACAACGGCATAGAAAAAAGTGACTTAAGACTGTTTTTCACAGTTACGATCTTTGCAGGTTGTAACATCCCCATGATCCTGTGATCAAAATTCAGATGCTTGGCAAATATGGTTCATATTTATGACTGTTGCTATGTCCCAAAGTCATGTGATCATCTCTTGCAAGTCCACGGGGAAGCCAGACTCACTTAACCATCGAGTTACTAACTTATCAACTGCAGTGATTCACTTAACAACTGCGGCAAAAAAGTCATACAACTGTCTCACTTAACAACAGAAATGTTGGTTGTAAGTCGAGGACTACATGTACCACTGGAGTAATTTGGCAATAACAATAGATTTGTTATTTAGGCAAGAGTTTAACAAAACCCTTCAGTACAGCCCAAAAAATATTTAAAAATTGAATACAACGGTGACCATATCGGTTTCACCCTTATGAGAGGAGGAAAGATTTGCAGAAATTAGTCCTTTGCTTGTTATGCAAAGCCCAGTCCTAAAGAGGAAGCCTGTCCATTTCTCCAGACACAATGCCACATAATTACCTCTGTAATAATTTTCCTCCGTTATTTTCAAATATTCCATTTTGAAACCATGCAGGTATTTCTGTAGACGCAACCAGCCAATGCCCTGGGGAGGATGTTTGTGTCTTAAATGAAGCTTGTCAGGAAGCCTGTAATCTATCATTCACTGCATGAGAGGTCCCCAAGAATGTTGGCTGTCTGCATGATGACGCAAAACAAATGGCCAGCGAATCAGAAGAAAGAGCCAACGACCACTTGGGAGAAAGCAAGGAAGAAACTTGCTGCTCTTTCTAAATTAAGGCTGAGAGTTAATGGGACATTCCAGGGTTGCCAATCAACTGAAAATTACAGAATGTTGTTATCGGGGCAGGATTAACTACTAAATCCACAAATGCCAATACAGGTTTCTGAATGTACATTTCTGGGTTTAAAATAGGATCATTTGAAAATGTCAGGTAAATGCAAGCATGGAGATGCAGAAAGACCAACTGAGGAAGAACTTATCTTTTAAAAGTCAAGTCAGGAAAGTTTATATATTTGTGTAATAGACAGGTTGAAGACAGTTCTTTATTTGAGGTCCAGAAAACTTGGTTGTATCGAATAAGCAATAAGCAATAAGGACTCTGGGATCATATTTTGATGGAGATACAGGATCAGCCAGGATCAGCTTAAAAGTCCAGGTCTTGAATCTTTTTTTTTATTATTAAAAAAGTTTTTATTTTCCATTTATTCATACAAAATACAATTAAATTCCTAACCATTGGTACCACCTGCCCATTCCCCCCAGGCTGCGTCCACCCTCTCTAACCTTCCCCACATCCCTCCTCTTTCTCTCCTCCCCTCCTACTCTCTTCCCCCCCCTTCTCTTCTAACCATCCTACTTCCTCCCTACTCCTTCCTCCCCTCTCATCCCTCTCACACAAATGAGAGGTCTTGAATCTTAAATTACATCACTTCCAATGGCAAAAAAATCTCCAAGTGGCTTACAATTCTAATAATCAGGATACTTTTATTCATTCATTCATTCATTCATTCATTCATTCATTCATGCATCCATGCATGCATAAATGCATTGCATTTGCATTTATACCCTCTTGGGAGAAGGTATTAGTTTGAGTTGAAATCACAAAACCCACACCAGGTTCCATGGTTGAATCTGGACCTGCATTGGGATCTCCCTAATCCAGTAACAAATATACGTCACCAAAGCAAGAGCAATCTACCAGAAGACAAATATTATGATATGAAGCAGACCAACCTTAAAAAAGCCCCCCCCCAAGTCTTTTTTTAAAAATTCCTGATGATGAAAGAAAACAATGCTCTCTTTAGTTTCAGGCTATTTTTTAAAAAATGTGTGTTTTATTAGTTTATTAGTTTCAAAGCAATTCTGTGTTGTATGGTACTTATGACTAATATTCAGACTAATATAGAAATAATCAGCTCTGTGGTCACAGATTTCCTAAGAAAGCAACATACAGATATGTCATTAGAAGATTTGGGCAACAGAAAAAAATGTGCTGGTTTCTTGCTCTCTCATGAATATCATACAATGGAAAGAGACTCATTAACATTTCTACATGGAGCGTATGAACCGGTGGGGTAGGGTCTAGAGACTGAAATAAGATGTACCAAAGATGCTTTGGGATCAAGCTACATACAGTTTCTAGGCAAGTCAACACTGTGAATGGCACTTGGAAGCCTATTGGTAACCAACATAGAGCCTATGTTGATTTTACAAAAAAAGGAGGTAATTAGCACCTTAACCTTTTTATTATTGTAGAAGCATATCAAATTTCATGGCACTAGAACTATTTTTCATTTCTTTAATAGATATAATGATGATGACATTATCCATTCATTCATGTTCGATTCTTGGCGATTCAA